GAAAAAAGGCATTATAACGCCTTTTGAAAAGGCGTTATTACGCCTTTTTAAAAGGCGTTATAACGCCTTTCTAAAAGGCGTTATTACGAGTTTCCATTCTAAAAGGCGTTATTACGCCTTTCCAAAAGGCAATATTACGCCTTTCTAAAAGGCGTTATTTCGCCTTTCCAAAAGGCGTTATTACGCCTTTCCAAAGGCGTTATTACGCCTTTGCAAAAGGCACGCCTTTCTAAAAGGCGTTATTTCGCCTTTCCAAAAGGCGTTATTACGCATTTCCAAAGGCGTTATTACGCCTTTGCAAAAGGCGTTATAACGCCTTTCTAAAAGGCGTTATTACGCCTTTTTAAAAGGCGTTATTATGCCTCTCTAAAAGGCATTATTATGCCTTTCTAAAAGGCATTATTACGCCTTTATAAAAGGCGTTATTACGCCTTTCCAAAAGGCACTATTACGTCTTTTATCTTCAATACATGACTAAACATATTTAGCCCAACCGAGGGGTGGGGGTGGGGGTGCAGAAATCTTACCTTTGAGACATGAATTTCACAATTAGATATAGGACTAATTTCTCAAAAAATAATTTAAACAGATTGCAATTAGATTTCCAGGAAAAAAGATTTTTAAATGCGTCATATAGTTTCAATGTTGAACCAACTAAGTCCTTCTTTAATACCAGACACACCTCTACCAAGGGTCATTGATTTCAATTGCTCAATATTCCCATGCAAATAGTTTGCCTGCTTTTTTCCAGGAAGGGAGAAAAATATCTTCAAATGACATGAATTTTAATACATGGCAAGCAAAGCTCCATGATACGTCTGCCTACTAGTATTTCCTTGATCTTCACAAGTAGAGTGTTGCCTTCTCTTAATACGAATGCAAACAGTTGTCAGTGAGATGTGCAGAAATACAGAGAATTCCATGAATAAAGATGGTTTTAATTAAATCTTTCATATATTTATTAACATAAAATAACGCCTTTCCATTTTCCTTCTCAAGTAGGCCAGTATAATACGAGTGCGAATGGGTTACCTCCTCCACAAATCACAAATACACACTTCTTGGAGAAAAGTCTTGCTACAGTTTAAATATTATAATTAACTATTGGTAGCTTGGTTCCTGAACATTTTGTTGCAGTGTGTAAAACTGGCAAATTATTGCATTTAAATAAAGTTTTACCGAGATTCACCCCACGAGTTTAGCCGATAGAGTGGGGACGGTGGTGGTGTTTGGGGGGGGGGGGGGGGGGGGGGCTATTAAAAGCACGGGCCTGTTAAATGCAAAATAATGGTTATTCAAAAAGCGTAATAACGCCTTTTAGAAAGGCGTAATAACGCTTTTTATAAAGGCATAATAACGCTTTTTATAAAGGCGTTATAACGCCTTTTAAAATGTTGTAATAACGCCTTTCTAAAAGGCGTAATAACGCCTTTTGGAAAGGTGTTATAACGCCTTTTTGAATGGAAAGGCGTTATAACGCCTTTTAGAATGGCGTTATAACGCCTTTTGGAAAGGTGTATTAAAGTCTTTTATAAAGGCGTAATAACGCCTTTTGAAAAGGCGTAATAACGCCTTTTTGAATGGAAACTCGTAAAAACGCCTTTTACAAAGGCGTTATAACGCCTTTTTAAAAGGTGTAACAACGCCTTTTGGAATGGAAAGGCGTAATAGCGCCTTTTCAAAAGGCGTTATTACGCCTTTTTTCGCGTTATTACGCCTTTTCAAAAGGCGTTATAACGCCTTTTAAATTTTTTTTCTCTCTAGATTGATCCTAATAGGCTTTCGTAGTTTTCTGCACTTTTCTTTTAAACGTTTGCAGATATTGAGCTGATTTTTGTTATGTTAGTGTATCTTGATGAGTTACAGATCAAGTTTGAATGCCGTTTCACTTCATTAATTTTTGACAGAATCATGGCACTTTTACTTTTTTTTATAATTTGGATTATGATCTGGGTCGTGATGCACTAAATTAATGTTCCAAACGAAGTTGTATTCTAAAGCAGGGGCGTACCAACAAGGGGGGGGGGGCTGCCCCCCCCCCCCCACTTTTTTTCCCAACCTTACTTATACTATAGGAAATGTTAATTGAAAGCCTGGTTGCCCCCCCCCCCACTTTTAGTGATGTACCGAAAATGTAGTATTAGAATTGGTACTGAAAGTAGTTGACGTTGACACTGATAAAAAAATTTACAACCCCCCCCCCCCCCCCACGAAATAGGATTTTCGGCTTTGGGCAACTTTTGTAGTATTAGAATTGGTACTGAAAGTACTTGACGTTGACACTTAGAAAAACTTTACAACCAACCCCCTTCCCCCACGAAATAGGATCTCTGGCTGCCCCCCCCCCCCACTTTCAAAAACGATGCTACACGCCTGTAAAGAGAAAAGGAGAACCCAGAAGGGGACATGTATTGCTTATGCAATACTCAGAATGCTAGTTAAAATCTGTTATAGTTGTACTGACAATTTAATTAAAACTTTAACTTACCTAATCAAGAATCCGATCCTGCTTGGCCAAAACCTGTCTTGTAATCTTTCCATGTTCGGTAAAAATTTGTAGTTCCCGCTTGTATTCGTCGCTAAATACTAGTAACCTTCTGAGTGCAGATATTGTATTTTGAATTAAATAATATGACACTGGACTAAAATCTAAATAATTGAATGATATCTATAACAGAATTTCAGTAAGAGATAGTGTTCCTGCTTTTGTCCTCAGTATATTTAAGCCTAGTAGTCAGTGCCTTTGGTAGAAGCATTCATGCATGTACACTGCAAATATCAGATATGATATTATGCTGTTGACCCCATAGATAATATAAAACATCGTTATCACTTCGTCAGATTTTGAATGCATTTTTAACATTTTCTAACACAAGACAGAAATACAGAATGTTTTATGTGTTTGATGCTACATAAGTAAGAAACAGTTCAAGTGCTTAGCTTATATAATTTTGTTAATTAATTAAAATTATCTTAATACCGTCCATCCACCACCGTCAGTAGTCATGTCACAAAAAACTGACTTCTTCGTGTTGCCGTCAGGATAAATTGTATACACACCATAACGTCCTTTTACCTCAGGGTCAATCTTAAGAATGCCAGCACAATCATGGTGCTGGCGTTTGAAGTGACCTTTAAAAAATAGTTATATACAACAAGATGAAGTAGTAAATCTACAAAGTTTAAAACGAGCGTCTTTTTAAAAAAACGATTCTTTACATTTTCATGGTAAGTTCGGCTTGTATTCACTGCTAATCTAATTCTTTTGAACTATGATGGCAAAATATAAGAAATAAACTCGGGTGTTGTGTATACATAAAGTAAATTATGTTTGAATGGCTTCGCTGCTCATGTGAATTTTCATATGAAATTTCATGTGCTCCAAAGTACATGTGTGTCAGTCTTTCTCGCCGAAAACGAACAGTTACATATAAATATTACATGTAACGTCTAGTACTGAAAGAAACCATTAGAAAGAATTTTAAAATACTTAAATTCTCTTAATTGGTCATTTTCTCTCCATATTTATTTATTTACTTTTTATTCTTTCTTTTGTATCTTTTCTTATATACATATATGATACTTAATATCAGCAAAGAATTTCTTATACCGTATAGAGGGTTATTTTAGCGGGGTGCTAATTTTTGCTTATTTTGGTGTTTTGATGGTTGTCCGCTAAAATTTTAATAATTCACTACTATTTTTAGTGTTTATCAGCAAAGAGCTAAAACCCTGTGTCCGCTAAAATAAATTACACTTAAATTTTTGGCATACCTTTGAGCAGGCAAAACGCCAAATTTTACACTCGCCAAGAAAACCCGCTATACGGTATATAAAAGCCATTTTATTTTATTTTAAAAATGGATTTTTTTTGAAGATTCTTTCTATTTCAGTAATTGAAATCTGTCCAAATAATTTTTCGAAAAAACGAAATAAAATTCGAGAAAATTTGATAAAATACTCACTTGTATTAAGATTCCGTCAACACCAACTGCATCTGCGCTGACTTTGTAACTCGACACAACATCTACCCCAATAGTAAGAGGGGTTTTCACTTTATATGACGATTTCTTATGGATCCACTTCCAAGAAAGTTTTTTTCAAAGATTCTTTCATATGCCCTAGATTGAGAACATTTTTTTTTCACTCTTGTCATAGGTCATCTCGAGTTTGGCCCAATTCAATGAATATCGAAGACTTTTTAGAAGCAATAGTTCGAAGAAGTGGAAAGTGGAAAAGTAGCTAATGCTAATTGGAAAGAAAATTCATGTTATATTTTGCCTTTGACGAGACTTCATATACACATTGTTCGTTCCATTTGTGTATTTATGCCTCCTATGAGAAATATCAGCCTGATAGTGCAGTGAAAAACAACCAAACACAGATATGCAGTTTTGTCGAATATGTCATTTAATTCAATGACATAAAGTAAAAGGTAAAACAAATCATTAAGGGGGATAACCTAATATTAAACAATACAGGTTACATGTACATAGGTGAAAGGTACAAGTGTGATCCCCCTGAGACTGACTAGAAATTTACATGCAGTGAACATATCAGAGTACATGTAAATATGCATAAAATATAACATAAATGAGTAAATCCTTGGAGGCGTCCAAACAATTGCGCCAATCCAAGAAACGTATGACAAGTTATAAAATAATATAAAACCAAAAACCCCAAAAAAGGGTGGGTGGTGGTTTTTTTTTTCAAGGCACTACCAGGCTAACAAAAATAGCGCAACAAAATCAAGGATTTTGATTGGGTTACTCTGTCAAGAAATTTAAGCTTGCGATTTCGCAATGAAAGGTTATGTGATAATTGCGCTGCGATAAAGGCGCATATCCTGCAGACTGCGCAGAGATATGCGGAATTATCCTAAGGCGTAAAATATATTTCTCATAGCGGCATAAATTGAATTATCTGTGATAATATTGTTTTATGCCTCCTATGAGAAATATCAGCCTGATAGTGCAGTGAAAAACAACCAAACACAGATATGCAGTTTTGTCGAATATGTCATTTAATTCAATGACATAAAGTAAAAGGTAAAACAAATCATTAAGGGGGATCACCTAATATTAAACAATACAGGTTACATGTACATAGGTGAAAGGTACAAGTGTGATCCCCCTGAGACTGACTAGAAATTTACATGCAGTGAACATATCAGAGTACATGTAAATATGCATAAAATATAACATAAATGAGTAAATCCTTGGAGGCGTCCAAACAATTGCGCCACAAGCCCTCACGCAGTGTCACGCAGTGAGGGGTTGACGCCAAACAAGGAGAAAATCAAAAGAAAACTTTTTTTTATAAAAACAGTAAAATACAGAAATTTACAGCATTTTATATAACAACATTGAAGTCGAAGTTCATATGATATCACATACTTTTAAGACTAGGTGTTCTTGACAAATAACAAAATCTGATGCAACAAATACATTAACATTCACCTGTTAGCTGTTCAATTGTGTATCAAGGGAAGCCAATTATGAAGGTCTTTATCTAACCTCAAGACAATGCAGGCAGAATTTTTAACATACAATTTACATGAGCAGCTATCCGCTGAACTCATGTATCTTAACCTGAGACTATGCAAGCAGATTTTAACACACAGTTTACATGAGCAGCAATTCGCTGAACTCATGTATCTTAACGTATCTTAACTCAAGACTATGCAAGCCAGATTTCATCATACAATTTACATGAGCAGCTATCCGCTGAACTCATGTATCTTAACTCTCGACTATGCAAGCAGCTTTTGACATACAATTTACATGAGCAGCTATCCGCTGAACTATGTATCTTAACTCAAGACTATGCAAGCAGATTTTAACATACAATATACATGAGCAGCTATCCGCTGAACTATGTATCTTAATTCAAGTCTATGCTGGCAGATTTAAACATATATTTTAAATGAGTAGCCATCATCTTACATGTAGCTCAAAGACTATGCAGGCCGGTTTCAATGCTGAACTCATTGACATTAGTAAGCAGATTATGGAGACATTACAAGTACATCAACACTAAGCTCAGTAACTAAAATACATTTTACAAAAGCAATTAAGTGCTGACCTCATAAAAATTGAGCTGAATTATACAGAGTTGATGACTATAGAGGATGTACTTTGTGCAATATATGATAAATCATTTGCTGGTCTCATGACCAGATTTACAACATTAATGATAGAAAAATTAATGTTACATAAGAAGCTAATACATTGCCTCATCTTACTTTACATAGTAGATAAACGACAGATGCTGACTACTCTATATGATGTTCCTTGGCAGTACCTGTTGGAGAAAATTATATATGCCGTTCAACACAGATATCCACATAGAATCCATAGGAGGGGCTTGAGCATATTGAGGTGTAGCTTGTCCTTCCTGGTGGTGTGGATTTCAAACTTTGGTGGTATCATTTTCCAACAGTTTACTATGAAGACAGCTGGCATCATGTCCAGAGCACCTAAATTCTTGAATGATCTTGTTGATCGTTTGATCATATATCTGCATAAGAGGTTCCATATGAGAGCACTGTTTCAACAATTTTGCAATTGTCATTCCAATAATGCACAATTTCTGCCATCTGAAATTTGTAGACTCCATTGCCTATCCATTTTGTGCCTTGGATGGTACTGCATGAAGTTAGGTGTTGATCACTTTATAGTTCAGGTTGGCCCTTGGCATCAATGTACTGCTACAAGTAACAGATCTAGAATACCATGGTAAATAGTGTATGAGTGTAATGCACTACTAAGCCTAGGAATATGTAGATACTGGAACCCAAATAAAATGAGAAACAATTTTACATTGAGACTCTCAGAACAGTCTTGATGACATGCTACATGTACCGCATGAAACAAATTATTTAATTAATATCTATTTTATGTTTCTCATAATACTGAAAGTTCTTTCTCTTCAAATTGAAATTTGAAACAGAATGTTTCTACTGATCTGATTTTCATTTTTTTTTTTTTAAATCTTTAAACAAGTAAACCATTGTTCAGAATGTTTCCACAAAGGTATAAAATAGTATGGACAGAATGTTTCTTCAAAAACATTATACTGAATGTTTCCACAAACACTGTGAAACATTATACTGAACTTTTTCCACAAAAAACTTGAAACATTATACTGAATGTTTCAAAAAAAAAAACCCTTTGAAACGTTATACTGAATGTTTCCATAGAACCTTTGAAACATTATACTGAATATTTCGACATAAACTTTGAAACATTATACTGAATGTTTCCACAATCAGTAATACATGACAATGAATCATTATACTGAATGTTTTCACAAAAACTTTAAACATTATACTGAATGTTTCCACAATCAGTAATACATGACAATGAAACATTATACTGAATGTTTCCACAAAAATTTTGAAGCATTATACTGAATGTTTCCACAAGGACTTATAACATTATACTGAATGCTTCCACAAAACTTTGAAACATCATACTGAATGTTTCCACAAAAACTTTGAAGCATTATACTGAATGTTTCCACAAAAACTTTGAAGCATTATACTGAATGTTTCCACAAGGACTTGAAACATTATACTGCATGCTTCCACAAAACTTTAAAACATTATACTGAATGTTTCCACAAAAACTTTGAAACATAATACTGAATGTTTCCACAAAAACTTTGAAGCATTATACTGAATGTTTCCACAAGGACTTGAAACATTATACTGAATGCTTCCACAAAACTTTGAAACATTATACTGAATGCTTCCACAAAACTTTGAAGCATTATACTGAATGTTTCCACAAGGACTTGAAACATTATACTGAATGCTTCCACAAAACTTTGAAACATTATACTGAATGCTTCCACAAAACCTTTGAAACATTATTCTGAATGTTTCCATAACAAATTTGAAACCCTAATTGAATGTTTCCAAACAAACTTAAAACATTTTTACCGAATATTTCGACATAGATTTGAAACATTATACTGAATGTTACCACAAACACTTATTCATGACTATGAAACATGATACTGAATATTTCCACAAAAACTATGAAACATGATACTGAATATTCCATACAAACTATGAAACATTATATTAAATGTTTCCACAAACACTATGAAACATAATACTGAATGTTTCCACAAAAAACTTGAAACATTATACTGAATGCTTCCACAAAACTTTGAAACATTATACTGCATCTGCCACAAAACTTTGAAACATTATACTGAATGTTTTCACAAAACTTTGAAACATTATACTGAATGTTTCCACAAAAACTTTGAAACATTATACTGCATCTGCCACAAAACATTGAAACATTATACTGAATGTTTCCACGAAAACTTTGAAACATTATACTGAATGTTTTCACAAAACTTTGAAACATTATACTGAATGTTTCCACGAAAACTTTGAAACATTATACTGAATGTTTTCACAAAACTTTGAAACATTATACTGAATATTTCCACTAAGACTAGAAACATTATACTGAATGTTTCCACAAAAATTTTGAAACATTTTACTGAATGTTTCCACAAAAACTTTGAATCAATTATGCTGAATGTTTCCGCAAATACTTTGAAACACCATACTGCATGTTTCAATCAAAACTTTATACTGAATGTTTCCAAAACAACATTCAAACATTATACTGACTGTTTCAACATAAATTTTGATACATTGTACTGAATGTTTCCACAAACACTAATACATGACTTTGAAACATGATACTGCATATTTCCACAAAAACTTTGAAACATTATATTGAATGTTTCCAAAACAAACTTGAAACTTTATACTGAATACTTAGACATAAACTTTGAAACAATATACTGAATTTTTCTACAAAAACTTTAAAACATTATACTTATTAATGTTGCCACAAAAACTTGAAACATTATACTGAATGTTTCCAAAACAAACCTGACACACTAAACTAAAAGTTTCGACATAAACTTTGAAACATTACACTGAATGCTTCCACCAAAACTTGAAATATCATAATAAATGTTTCGACACAGATTTGAAAACATTATACTGAATGTTTGAGACAAATACTTTGAAATATAAATTATAAAGAATGTTTCACAAAGACAATGAAGCATACTGAATGTTTCTTCAAAAACTTTGAAACCTGATACTGAATGTTTGCACAAAAACAATGAAACATTGAACTTAATGTTTTCCCAAAATTTTGAAATAAAATACTTAATTCCCAGGAAAACTTTTAATCATTATACTGAATGTTTCCCTCAAAAACTTTAAACATTCACAAAAAACAAACCAAACTAATCGATGTTATACTGAATGTTTTCACAAATATTGGAACAATATATTGAATGTTTTCACAAGTACAGTGTATCTTGAACATATTCTTAATGGTCAAACTAAAATGTTTATAAACATTTTCTGAATTTCTCTACTCTCTACTTATTTATTTATTAAAATGCACATTATATTTTCCCCTTTTTCTTATCTTTTCTTTTTTCTTTTAATTTAATTTTTTTTTTTTTTTTTTTTTTTGAACCATTTTTCTCCCAATAGTTCTACTTATAGCATAAAAAAAATGACATATTGAATGTTTCAAAACCCACTAATAAGGATTTTGCTGAACATAACAATATACTAAACATAGCTGAGACTTCCTTACGGGGATAATGCCCCTTAAGAATTATATGTAAGGCAGCCAGAAAACAACTTAATATGTCTTCAGATATATGGCAATTACCAAATGTTCCCTTTTTCTAATGCTGCAAAAAATGGTTATCAACTTCATTGATATCTTCGCATCATTAGAGAAATTGTGTCAAACATTCTGTAAATTATAAATTGGATATGCAAGATATTGTAAGGAACAGTACACCACTCTTTATATAGCCCTGAGCTGAGCATAATTTAATAAAGACTATATAATAATAATATAAAACATAAAACGGTGTTCTGGATCTTATTTCTTTGAAAAGATGATAAAATGCACAAGCAAAAGAACATTCGAGCCACATAGGCTGGACAGTGAATGGAGTTTACTGAAGGTGGACTCCATCCGCAGCCAGGATCAGAAAAGATAGGAGAGACTCCCCGAGAAACCCAGAGTATAATCCATGACACTCCAGCTGACATCCCGTGGTGACCCAATTGACCTCGAACACAGATTCATAAAAAAGCAAACATGTGTAGATCAGCATACAGGTTAATTGACCGATAACCCCCTTGACACATTTTGTGCAGGTAATCAATTGCTCTCTGTTTATTTTATCTCAGATTTGCATATTGCATCATGCAGAAGATTGAAATGCATTCAAATCCCAATGACACAAAATATATTTCCCATAAGTAAAAAAAACAAACAATGTTCCAATGATGGAACTATTATATATGGCACACATAGAAATGTCTTAATTTAATTTTAGTAATTATTATGAATATACTATAGAAGAAAGTTTGATCAGCTGAAATGATTTAACACGTGCATGGACACTGAAGAAAGTTTAATACTTGATTTAACACATGCATGTGTTTGTAAACAATCCAATATTTCCATGTGTAAACAATGATTCCATCAACCACCAATATTAGGACAACACCGCCATAAATTATGCGTAAACAGGTTCCATGATCAGGCAAGTTATTAACTCCAGTGTAAACAGGATAAATAAAATTGCAGAATCAAACAGACATATAACATGTATAAAATTCACAATTTTGATGCAGGTGCAGAATATTCCATCAACAGAACAATGACTGTAAATAGACTAAGTACACATGATAGGTAATAGTGAGATTTCATTCGCCGAGACAACTAATAATTCTCTCCATGAAAAGGGGGTATCATAATCTGGGCAACGATACAAGTTAAATAACTAAATGGAAAATAATTTTGGCATAAATGCTATTATTTCCATAATATGTATTTACTGAACATCAGAAAGACAAATCATAAGGAGAACCCATGAAGTGGTATCAGGTACATATGGTAAATAAATATAAATTATGAAAATGATTTGCCCTGTTGCACCGCCAGTTAGCCTGTATTTTATAAAGGCATGCAGCTTAACCAAAATGAAGTATGAATAAAACAATGATTTTAAAGCTGCTCCAAATATGTAAACTTTAAAACATTATTATTTTTTTTTTTTATAAT